GAAATATTGCAGCTCTATCAGCTGATAATGAGCTCGGTCCCGAGTGAGTGAATTGGTCGTTCAGTGTTTAGATCATTCCAATTTGGCTGGTGAAATCCGTAGATCAGCCTGAATAGTTTCTACTTGCTTAAGCTGTTCAGTTGTTAATTTGATCACTTTTGAGTTAACGATCAAACACAGAACTTACGTTGACTTGACTACTTGCAGTATAGATGATAATGATGATAAGATCCAAGAAAGCAGCATGAAAATAGACAATCCGATAATAAAGATGGGTCAGAAGCTTGGGAGAATAAAAGTAACTTAATACTGAAGGAAGAGGCAAATGGATAAACAAAGTCTAAACAAATATAGTAAGTATATGGAAGGGGTGGGAAGTATCTGGCTAAATAAGAGTAAAGCTTGTGCACTATGGCAGTATTTAATTTCATTTTTATTGTATTGTATTGTTTACTGGATTACGTTCCGGACACAATTGTTTGTCCATGGTCATATCAAGATATCTCCACAACTTTGAGATATCCTCTATACAGTTTTAATTCCCTCTCTCCTTCCCCTTGTGACATACGTAGTAAGATTTTCCATATTTCCGGAACAGGTGCTGAGTCATTCTTGCTGCGTGTTGTACTAGGTGTTGATTCGATAAACAAATATACAGTTATCAATCTCTCCTTCCATTATTCTATGTTAGTTTTGAGGATTCTCACCCCGTCCCATCCTATTGTGTGATTGTATGTACTCACATGTATAGCTACAGCTGTGCTTTTATCTAAATTCCTTCCCTTACTAGGACCTACCACTTTTAACCTGGCTAGGATTTTGTGCTCGGATAGTCTAATTGACCCTGGTCAACTACTTTGATCTATGTATTTGACTTCGTATTCGTTGCCAGGGCTTTGCTAAACTAAAAAAAGATCTTCCTAGCAAGATTGAAACGTTGAGGAATAATACAAAATATTTGTTTATTTTGTTATTTGTTCTAATATACTAAGCTGGGATTACGCAAGTAAAAATACGCCATGTACAATAAACTATTCTGTTTAATTAGATCAATAGGATCTTTTAACCTAAAAAGCTTGTAAGTAAGTGGACAAACAAAGTCTAAACAAATACAGTAAGTACATGAAAGGGGTAAAGAATAAGAAAGGGATAGGAAAAAAAGAACTCAGTGATAAAGTTATTAAGTATTCCCTGGTCAAGGGAGAGATAAGGGATGTACAAACTTCTTCTGGATACAAAAATTAGGATTATTGGCTCGAATTTCCCTAGCTTCTGCTATGTGTAAATGACAAGTTTGAATACCTTTCAAAAGGTGAGATGGTATGCGGTGAATAAACGTGAAAGCATTGTTTTCATCTACCAGGTGACCACTATCAACGAGATCCCAGGAAGCAAAACTTCTGAGGGATTTTATGTGTCACTTTCCTAACCACGAACGTAGATGCTCAACAATACGTCAGTTAAGTTGTCTAGTAGTATGCCCTATATAGCTTTCTCCACAGTAGCAGCTAAACTTGTAAATACATATAAAAATAACAAAACTAGCTACCTTACCTTTTGTCTGAGTAACAGAAATCGGTCTACTGGAAAATGATAGACAGAGTTGTGCGGCGTAGAAAGTCGTCTTAATAGCTATAGAGAGTCACTGATATAAAACTTCTCCAGCTACATCTCCATTGAATTGAAATTTCTTAAACAACGGTTTCTTTTGTAAGGCAGTAATTCCATCTTTGTTTCCTCTCGCTTTGTCCATATGTCTTTTTAATAAACTGTTACGGTAGCCCATTTCGACCAATGAATTAAGAATAAATTCTCCGTTCAGATATCGTTTTAGAGGTATCGCCTGAAATATATAATTTAACTTGGCCCATCCCTTAATGATCTACATTTGGGCTCAAAGTAATAATTTCTGCTATGTAACTGATCGACTTTAAGTTGTAAGTTTCAGTAAATTATCTTATTGAAGACCATTGATGTAGATTTTATTGTATTTTTTATAATTGAACAACATGATATAATATTCTGATGAGTTCTTTATTCAGCAAAAAATATACAGTACCCGGATGTAATGATTTGTTGTTGCGACATTTCGATTCCCATTTACTAACGGGCAATAACTCCCCTTTTTCATGTATTCTGAAGTGAATTGTAAGAAACCATCTCAGAACATCTTGAAACGAATATTTTCAGTCATGTGTAAAAACTTCAACAGTTGTAACTTGTATTGCTCTTTATGAGTGATCATTCCTTAATACAAAATGAATGCAACTAGGAAGTCCGAAATCCTTTTTATTGCAACCATAATACTCGCAGATATGCAGTTTGAGGTTCACGATGACTTTATTTTTTTAATCACGGACTGACATCAGTTGGAAAGCCTTTGAAGCCGTTTACCTCTGGATAGGTTTTTCACCCTACTACTAGACTTATCAAAAATGTATATCAACTACCCAAACGAGGTTCGTATTCATGTTCTTCATGTATCCCGATGATAGCGTCATCCATCCAGCCACTTGATCGGAGTTCAGTGGTTCACAGTTTCCCACTTCTGTCATTTCGCGATTTAGTCCAACTATCCCTCGAAGTCTTCAGTTGGCATCTACCTCACTTCCGACTGGTTGACCCTTCAGGTTACTGCTTCTCATCTGGAAGCATGACACTAATGATCACTATAGGATGATGAAACTTGAGGTTTATGGGGACATTATTTTCAAGGTAGTACTCGTACATACTTCATTTGTGGACATAAATCCCTAGATTACGTCTTGATTCTTTGAAATTATGCAACAGTCAATCTTTATCCTCCCACTCTGCTGCCCTACTGATACATGCTTACATTCTGCACTACAAAATATAGAGATGTATTTGCTTGTTGTACAGTAAGAAGGTCAAATGAATATATAAATTCTATCAAGGGAGCATAACACTGCGAATAAAATTCTTGGTTCATAACTCATTTCGACTAGAAAGTATGAAAGCGATAGTGATACATGTACATGCCCTATGGCAACTTATCCTATGTGTTAATAACCTGAAGCTATAAAACGGCTAAATGTGAGATTCTAAAAAATAAATAACCATCCTGAATGATGAGTAAATTCATTTTTAAACTATTTTCTAACGAAAAGCCTTTTTTATCAGAAGTTAAATACCCTGTTAACTCTTTTCAATTATTTGGTAGTTGCTGAGACTTTTAAGTTTTACTACTGCGACTTATCAAGGATAAAGAATATTCCTTGGCCAATTTACCATAAATTAACATCTACCAAGCAGTGTGTAAAGTCAGAGTCGATTACATAGTAGGTATCCATACGATCATTTTGTAAAGTATGTGATTTCCGATGGTGGAAAAACGAATGACATGAAGCTTCGTGCGAGTAATATTTTTCATATAAACGAAGTTGTAAGTCAGATTGAAATTGTTCATGTGTATAACTGAACTGTTACTATGAAAGATTTTGATGAAAATAAGTAGTGAGTTAAGAGCAAAACAATAATGTCTGTGTAGGTTGAAAGTTATAACCAGTACTGATGGATCGGAATGGCCAGACCAGGACCTGGACCCGATCGATGAAGTCTCTGACTGTCAGTCTGAGTCGTTTTGGGGTGAAGCAGAGTACCTTGTTGTGGTTCCTGATATGAAAGAAATCACTGGTTGAAGATTCTTGGTGAGATGGCTGAAAACTCGTCACAATGGCGCATATATATTCACTCCATAACATCTAAAACTTGAATATTTGCACTAACCGTTATCTTCAGACTGTTTATTCTCTCACACTACTTTATCTTGATTGATACCATTAGTTTTCTATCCACTTCTTCTTCGTCTACTTTTGTGAAGTGCGAAAACCTGAGCCGATGTACCTGTGTGCGAGGTTCTACAATGATTTCGTCATTCAGTCAGCTAGTGATGAATTGTGGTTCTTTAAGCTTTTTGCGGAAATTTACTTGGTCGTAGCCAGCAGAAGAATACAGTACGGGCTTTTCGTGCTACTTAGAACTCGTCAGCTGGATGTACCTGAATCCCAGTGAATGATATTGTTCCCACAGAGATTCGGATCTCGTATCCATTGCTTCTAACGCCAAAGCGTTATCCACTGGGGCACTTAGGCACGATAGCCACCTCTTGTACAACGGTTATTAGTCATAACGTTTTGTTGATATACTTGTTATTCTCCATTGATTTATTGGACTGAATTGTTCGACCTGTATTAGCATATAGGCTCCTATGTGGATGCTTTGATATTGTCTGAATATTTATTACGATAATTTACTTGGTTGTAGCTATCAGACGAGTTTCAAATAGGACAAAACGCGCATCTTGGATTCCTCTGCTAGCCACAACCAAATAAATTATCGTAATAAATATTCAGACAATATCAAGGCATCCGCATAGAAGCCTATATGCCAATAGAAGTTGAACAATTCGATCCAGCAAAACAACAGAGAATTACAAGTAAATCAACAGAAAGTTATTTCTGATATTTTGTTTGTATACAATTTGTAAGCCTGGAAGTATGAAGATAATTTGATTACTAAGGTCACTGATCATTTGTCTCTGTGCACCAGAAGTGTAAATTCTTAGGTTACATTTGTTAATGGTTTCATAGTTTAAGGTTTTTACTAGAAAGACACAGAATAATAATGAAACAATTCAAGTCATTTTATTTGTCATATGATTTTGTTGTTATTCACCGCAGACTGACATCAGTTGGAGGAACAAAGGAAACTTGGGAGCACTGGACAGCTGTTTCGCCCTAGTATGGGACTCCTCAGCAGTGCGCACCCACGACCTCACCAGCAAGGATCGAACCCGTGACCTTCAGGTTCCGCGGCCAGCGCGTTACCACTGAGCCACTGGGTCAGAATCCAAATGCTCCATATTTCCAACTTCTGTTAGCTCCAACTGACGTCAGTCTATGATGAATAACAACTTGAAATAATTCCAAATCTCTACAACTCCCTCAAAATATGATTTTGTATTTTTCTTCTGATTTTAGAAAACATGATGAGTTATTGTTCAAGAAATATGAAAAAATTTGTAAGATTGGTGAAGGTGCTTATGGAGTTGTATTCAAATGTCGTGATATAAAAACTGGACAACTTGTAGCTATTAAACAATTCACTGCATCTGAAGATGATCCAGTCATTCGTAAAATTGCTATGAGAGAAATTCGAATGTTGAAGGTGAGATATTATGTGTATTGTTATTCATATTACATAAAATAACATTATCAGAAGTAGAAACATATGAACTTATGAATAGTATATTAAGAAGCTTTTTTCAAAGAACAGTAGATCAGTGCTAAATGCTAAAAATTAAATAACTTTCTCATTATTCTGGATCACATCTAAGTCTAATGTCAACCTGATGTTAATGATGGGTAGCCACTGGCAGGGAAACTCAAGAAGTGAGTTTCGTCCTATTTATGACTCTTCAGTTGGATTTACCTGCCTTCTGGGGGGTGGTGTACTTACCGCCGGGACTTGAACTTAGGTTCATTTGCTTCAAATATCAAAGGTTTATCCACTAAGCCACGAGTTCCAAACAAGAGGTATGCGCATTCTGGATTCCACTGTTAACCACTAACCATCACCTTTTACCAGATTGAAGTTATAGGCATTATCGAAGCATATGCGCACGAGCCCATATATCAGTAGAGGCCGATGAATTCAGCCCAATATACGACGAGTAGTTACGAGCAACAACATCGGTAGTATTAACTTGCTTTAATTTCATAGATGGTTAGAATAAGTAATTACAATATAGCCTACTTGCATTCCATTAGATTCCAATTAATAAAACCAGACTGGCACTGGCGCTGCTCCTAAGAGATTGTTTGCATGTTCCTATGTGTATTATCCCACTGGTTTATTTGTCATGTTTTTTTATATGAATACTAGAAAAAAATCAAGGTTATACAAGATCTGAAGGAAAACCTCTAGTCATCAATTACAGACTTTCAGTGACAAATGAATACCCGTCAACAAAATAGAGTAACATACACCCTGCATCAAAATTTCCATTCGTTAAGCATATTTTCAATGTCAAGAAAATAGTGAAGAAAGAATTCACAATAGTGAATTTCATACTTCTCCATTCAACAGAAATGATGAAGATCTTAGAAAGAGTTGTTTGCTTGCCACAGCAATACATCATGCATCATGTTTTAATAGTGGATAGAGGCTGGCAGTGGAGTCCAGGACGCGCTTTTCATCCATTTTGAGACTCATCAGCTGAATGTACCTGCCTCACAGTGAATGATGTTGTTCTTGCTGGAACTCAAACTTGGAAGTTACCGCTTTAAACGCCAAAGAGTTATCCATAAGACCAGTGTGTCACGATAGCCAGTTGTTATCCAACGGGCATAGTTTTTTAATGTTGTTGCTTTTATTATCTCGTCATTGAGTGTACCGAAATGATCCATCACTATTGGGATATGGCCTCTTGTGCGGATGCCTCGATATTGCCTTCGTTTCGGTTATACATTATTATTGATGGATACAACTTATCTAGCTATCCTCAAGTTCATGCTATGTCTGTTCTAAGTGACACTGCTTCAGAAAGGTAAGAATAATGATTGCTTTCTGACAGAATAACTGTATGGCAGTCATTCGATATCTGTCCACAAAAATACTCAAAGTCTGAATGTAAATATAAAAGTAAAAATAAGCTCATCACATTTATAAACGTCAGTTCAAAACGTCGTTGAACTTGAAAGGAACTAGGCTGTGAATATTTGAATAACATACATGAAGTGTTATTATCTGCTTTGAGAGGGTGTAACTGGGAGTTGTATGAACACTATAAAGCCTGCTAGATTTGGATTTCGCCGACGATGATGATTTATATCTAATGTCTTATATCGCACAAAATCGAAGATCTACAGACAACAACCTACAAGTTGACAGAAGAAGCCAGACAGCGAAGACGATACTTCCAGTGAACGTAGAGAAGACAGAGGTGATGAAGATACCCAACAACAACAGCAGCAGCAACAACAACAATAACACAACGGGCACCAATCACCATCAGTGGGAGAAATCTAAAGGAAGTTTCCTCTTTCACCTGACTGCCTGCCTACCTGCCTACCTGCCTAGGCACCATCGTTTCAACCACAGGTGACGGTGGCACACATTAGCATGTCAAAGCAGTCACGATCGGAAAGATAGTAGGACAGGCCTTCCTTCATTAATCTGTGGAGATGAGTGTGGAGATCTGCTGCACTGCACCACACCACACCACACCACACCACACCACACCACACCACACCACACCACACCACACCACACCACACCACACCACACCACACCACACCACACCACACTCAACATGAGGAACACGATCCGAATTTTCAACACTAATCCAGTCAGGTGATTCGATGTGATGATTGAGAGATTTGGCATGTTGCGAAAATCATTTGCAATAAACAAACTACAGACATACATGAACAGCTGCTGCCTTCACCACCTGACAATGAACCAAGAACCCATCGACCAACAAATGTGCAGAAGGAGGAAGTGGAGATGGAATGGATTGGGCATGAATCGAGAAGACCGTTTGTGGATATCACGTGACAGGTCAGGTTGTCGATTGGATGTTGTATGGGAAACGATGAGTTTGGCGTATGTGGGTGATATGGAGGAGATTGGGTGAGGAAGAGATGAGAGGTTGTGGGGAGTCATGTTTCCATTTTGAAATGACTGGAGAGAAGAGAGTGAAGTGGTGACGTGCTACTTAATCCTTATATTCTACTAGGAACCCAAGGGACAAACGCTACTAATAATAGTAATAGATAAAAGTAGCATTTAAGTAATACCAGTCAATGTTTTGTTGAGAAGCTGGAGACATTAGTGACCAGTGTTTGAAAAGTTTTCAATTACATGTACATTTTTCTTCCATCCACTCTTTCAGCGTTTGAAACACCCAAACTTGGTCAATTTGATAGAAGTATTTCGTAAGAAGAAGAGATTGAATTTAGTCTTCCAGTTTATTGATAACTCCCTACTGAATGAAATGGAGCAAAGACCTAGAAGGTCAGTTTTTCTACTTGAATAAACATCTTTAGTCTGTTTTCTGTTGGAATTTAATGGATATGATTAAATACACCTGTAATCATCTCATTTAGACTTTTCAGGTGATTCTTTCGTTTATGCTTTTTTTGGCTGTTTATTTCTACCTTTTTTTTTAAAGATATTAAGTCGTTAAGTATTGATTGAAAATCATCAACTTCTTGAACCACTGAACCCTACTAAAGGAAATGAATAGCATTCATCTTGTAAAATGTATCTTATGCTTTAGAAACACCAAGGTAGAATAATGACAAAATAAATTTGTTTATATGAAACATATTTCTCGGTTGTACTATTATCAACTCAACAACTACACAATATTTAATATTGATCGAAAAAAATAGTTTTATAAGTGTTCATAACCATCAGTAGTTGTCATTAATCCTATTCAAATAGTGTAAACGCTTGTTAGATATTTTGATTTGTTCAAGTCAAAATTATGAGAAACATTTTTGAATTCAATAAACCATCAGTGTTTTGAATAACAAGGCAAGTATTTTCAAGATTTATAACTCAGTGTCAGTGATACAAGTATCTGACTCAGTGTATACAACTTGAAAAATCTTAATATCCACCTTAACTTTTAATATCATAAACCATTATTAAGCTTGACACCTTTAAATGTTCCATGCTAAGTTGTTTTTTTAGATAGTTTGCTTAGCTAAAGGCTACTGTTAATATCACCTTTTACATGAATATGAACTATAAATTATGTTTAAAATGTTGTCGAGCAAATAACTCTGTTTCCCTGTGTGAAATATTCAACGAACGAATGAGACGTATGAAATTATACACTACAGTAGTACCTAAGTTATACACCTACCTTTAAAAATGTTAACCTAGGAAGTAAGTAAGCATTATGCATGACTATTCATTTTAGATGTGTTATATACCCCTAATTTTGCTTAATTTTTTGCCTGATATTTGCCTATAAACTTAAAATAACTTTATTGTTGCTGTTATCTTCTCCTTTTGGTGCCGTTACTAGCTCTAGTTTTTTCCACTGCTTCAGAAGATTGAACTTTAATCGGTTGTTACCCCTTTTAACTTACTAGTGAATTTAGTGTTTATCAAAGTCGTTTAGAATGTATATATTCAGCATCATTCTCAATTGCTTTTGACTTTTGTTGAGAAAGTGAAGGCTGTCTGTCAACGATTTGTCTTCTCGTCTTGCCTTTGCGTGCAGTGGTATTGTTGTTGTTGTGACTGACGTTCTAATTAGCCATTGAAGTAGATTCTTTTGCGCATTAGGTTCGTATCACTCACAGACTACTACGTGGCATTACCGGTTATATCTAATTAGCATATACAATCAACCTTTATTTTTTTCAAACTATCAACACTGCAGATCACGTTAGACGGCAAGAATCAATCGCCAGGAAGACCTTTTTTTCCCATGTTTCATCCTCGTTGGCAATCAAAGCCAAGATGTTTCTGCAACCATGAAGAAACTGATGTCCCCTAGGTCATTTGAACCCACACCACTCATTGATGGGATCTGAGACAGGAATCAACCATAGTCGGAATAACTTAGTGGTTATTTGTATGAAGTTATCAGAGAGTGATGTAGATCCGAGTCACTGAGGGAACATCAAATTTTTCATCCTTGCAGTCACTTCTTATCAATGAATCCTAAGCAGGGCTTTCTAATGCTTAACTCTCACCATTTAATATCAGAATACAGTGCGCCACAGTGCCGCGTCACTTTGCTGAGTGGCTGCATTCGAAAACCTGGTCGATGAATTTCAATCAGTGATAAGCACTTATGACCAATCAGTTGTATGCGTTGTTTACCGGTGACTCATTCGTGTGCTGAAGATTATGCCAGATGAACTGCAGTTTATAGTAGGAAAAATTTAGTAAGACAAACAAACTAGTCACAAGGCTTCTCACAGTATCACTGCGTCATACTTACGGACTGAATATAGGAGAATAATTTGTTGATTATACTGATTTTTTCTCGGCAGAAAATGGCGGATAAATTGAAATGAATTTTTGTCGTGTGCCAAATCTTATCACACAAAATAAGTGGACAGTATTTTAGTTATTTATCATGACAAATATTAGAGTTGAAGCTGGATACCGTAGTAGCATATACTTCGATATTAGATGTGTTTATCTGGACAAGCATGCAGCTATACTGTACTATTTATTGGCACACAAGTTTATCTGTGTCAAGACGATCCACTAACTTCCGATACTATGATTTTCTTACCGCCCTTTTATCGCTTATTCTTTGATTTTAGTGTTCTCAAAAAATTTTCACATGTTGGCGATAGGTTTTTCCAGTTGGTATCCCTCATGGACTGACATCAATTGAAGGAACATTAGAAGTCTGGGAGCACTAGAAAGCTGTTTCGTCCTATTACGAGACTCCTCAGCAGTGCGCAACCATAATCCCACAGCTCAACGGACCTAACTAAGGACTTTTAGGTTCTGTGGCCAGCACGTTACAATTGATCCACTCGGTCGGAATCTAGTGGTTCATATTTTCACCTTCTGTTAGTTCACGATATAGCTCTACCATCACTTGATGTCATCGTTGAGTGTATGTCCTCACAGCCACCAGGTTTGTCCCACCGATCAGGACTTCTCATTGAAACTTTGTTAATCACTTCTAGAAGCTAGTAACTAATGAACACTAGATCAATTTTATTTGGTTGTTTTTGAACTGACGGAAGTTGAGAATATGGACCAGTAGATTCCAACTCAATGGGTCAGTGGGAATGTGCTGGTCGCAAAACCTGAGGTTGCTGGGTTCAATCCCTGGTGGGATAGGTGGGTTCATGGTTGTGCCCTACTGAGGAGTCTCATATTAGGACAAAACAAATTCCCAGTGCTCCCAGGTTTCCAATGTTCTTCTAAATGATGTCAGTCCATGATGAATAACAACTTGAAATCGATCAATCCCCACAAATCCCCAAATTAAATTAGCAATAGGTGCTGAATCATATCTACTGTACACGTTGATTTGATGTTGGGAGATTCAATGGTCAATATTTCCGTCCATGTAGCTAAATTGGTTCTCTGAAATGTTGCTTCGTTTACACTTACTGCACAGTTGTAAATCAATGCATACAATATGACAGCTCCAAATTGTTCAGATTATTAATCTTAGTAAAGACTACCATTCTAAATTTAATTAAACTCCACTGTTATATTAATCTGATTTAAACCGATTACCTCGTCGCACCTGTGTATTATATGTTAAAGTTGTTGTACAGTATTATATCGATCAAATTATTCCATCTGATGTAACCAGTAGGATTTTTCAGCTGTCTGAGTTTATCTTTTAGTAATCTGGAAGGTCTAAATGCCATTTTATTTCTAGCCTCGGTAAAAACCCTGTACAAATCATTAAATATTATTTCTTGATGTAGAAATAAAGCGTAAACCTAAAAGTTCTTTTTGCCTTTTGCCATTTCCTTACTCACATCCTTGGATTCACCAAAATAGATTTCTACCTCGATTACTTAAACATTTGACTGGACTTATTTTAACTGATTCTATGTACAATGATTTAAAGTTTAGACATGTTATATGTTGGTTTCCTGGAAACGGTATTGTTAAAGCCACTATCTACTTTTCAGTTTATTTTGTGATCTACTACAAAGAATTTTTTTTGTTCAGAAATTAGCGATTGAAGTGAAATAAATATCTGGTCAGCAGTTGGACCTAGTAGCTTGGTTAGTAGAGCCTCGAACCGAAAACCAGGTGGTCATTGATTCGAATCCGGTTGAGGTCTAAATTTTCATCTCACTTTCAATCATCACCCAGTATAAATACTAATCTGTCAAACTACAGCTATCTCAGATAGTCAAATGATAATCTATATGATGCTCCTCGTGTGTAATTCACTTACATTTGGATTGAGATGAGAAGTCCTGACTAGGCAGCCAGTGTGAATACAAATGGTAATCGGGCAAAACTCATAGTGATTGAAGTTAAATAAAAATCCGGTCAGCAGTTGGACCTCATAGGTGAGTTGGTAGAGCATCGGGCTGGAAACCCGATAGTCACTTGTTTGAATTCGACTGCGGTCGAGATTTTCATCTCACCTTTAATCATCACTCAGTGTAGTTAATATTTATTAATGAGTCCATATGTATTGAAGAACTGTCGACGAATCCTGATTTCAACACAGTAAATTTATCACTCATGTATCTTCTTCATACACTGAAAGTGAATTTGAGCATTATCAAGGTCACGTAACTTCAACTACTCACAAATATGCCTTACATAATTAGAGAATCTAGTGATCCCACTGTCGACCCTTCTGTTTACTTAATACTGTGAATGTTGAAGAGATTTGAAGCGAGATGATTTACAAAATGTTAATTCATGGAATCATTAGCGAAAACATGTGGAACGAATGAAGGAACATCTATTTAGGAGGTATAAAAAACTAAACTATCGTTAAAAACGAATAATAAATGACTGTAGAACAGCTAAAATCAAGTGATTACATGAATATAATTTTTGTGTCTTTCAAAGGTTAGTCACCTTGACTACTACCGATTAGAGTTTGATCTCTTCTTAATTTTTATACTCTGCAGACCCGAATTCAGGGAATCCTAATAGACGTTTCTACACTTTACCTTATTAACAAAGTAACATATAGTCTTCAATAAGCTTTTTTATTTGTACTTTTTCATATTTTTCTAATAAGCTAAAAAGTTATACATTTTGCTCGTTATATGTACCTGCATGTTTACGGATTTAATCGACCACATTTAGGCAACTGGGAGTTGTCTTTACTTCACCTTTTCAAGCCTTTAATTGTTTAATTCATCTTTTTTTTTTCTAGATTCAAAGAATTGAGTAACTTTTCGCCCTAATTTTCATACCCATAGATCAGATCACATTCAAAATGTGTTGTCTTTTCTCTATTGAAATCTGGTAACTAATATATTGCAATTCGATCTAGTGAATTTATCCAGTCGAGAATAGTTAATTAGTAGAAGTGATGTTTCTTCAATGAAATGAATAGTCTTCAAAATCATTTCTCATTCATTTATTGTTTTATTTTGTTTAAGAAAGAAAAAAACGTGAAGGAAAAAATTGAATAAAAATTGTAAATGATTAACTTTAATTGATCAGTTTCGATTGTGAGAGAGTTTACTGGGAATGAAAAGTTTCATAAATACGCCTTGTTTAATTTAACAATATAAAGTCATAATTTCACTTGATACTTATGAATTTCCGTTGACTTACCGGGTTGAATTTCCTAACCTGCGTTGGTAGACGGACTCCTATGCTGATACCTGAATACCATCAAGATTTTCATATCTTGTAGTCTACTTGCTGGATAGCAGTGGAACTGAAAACGCGTGTTTCATTGTATTTAACACTTGTCAGCTAGATAAAACTGTACCTTAGTGGATGATACTGATACTGGTCACACAAGAGGTGGCATTCGTATCCCAATGGCCCAGTAGATTACGCTGTTCCATTCGAAGCGATGGGTACTGGTTTCTATTCTTGGTAGGAAAAAAATCACTCATTTGGGTGCGCTTGCCCACAGCTGACGAGTCCCAAATAGGAAGAAATGTTTGTCTTATGCTCCATCGCTAGCCACGAAGTGGACTACAAGATTGACTCACATTATTCAATACTGTAAACAGAATATTTCTCTGACATTTCGTTTACTGTTTGATTCACTGGTTTAAACTTATTGCGTTTTATTCTGTTCAAGATACTGAACAATAAGTTAACTAGTGAGCGATGTTGGAGAATTCGGTGAAAATCGGACACGCACAGTGACGAAAGTAAATAATAATACTACTGTTGAACCTGATCGCTTGACAAACAGAAGAACAGTACTTGGTAACCAAATTAGGAAAATTTGAGAAATTTGAATATAGCTGTTTTCAGCAGTTAGAATGTTCACACAGTTTGACTGTAAATAGTTAAACCGGTGGGATGGCAACACTTCATTGGGTAAAGACCGTTTACTAGATTCTCATCTTCACAGGGACACAACACAAGCAAGTGAAACGCAAATTTATTCACCCTGTGGTAACTCACTGTGCATAGTTAACACATTTACAAGCCAATTAGTTAAAAATCTTTACTAAGACAGACTGCTTCTGATTGTGATCAACGGCATTACTTAAATGATGAAGTTGGAACATAAAATAATTTAGTGAGATTTGATCACCATTATTCGTCCCTTGGGTTCCTAGTAGAATATAAGGATTAAGTAGCACGTCAACACTTCACTCTCTTCTCTCCAGTCCTTCCAAAATGGAAACATGACTCCCCACAACCTCTCATCTCTTCCTCACACAATCTCCTCCATATCACTCACACACGCCAAACTCATCATTTCCCATACAACATCCACTCGACAACCTGACCTGTCACGTGATATCCACAAACGGTCTTCTCGATTCATGCCCAATCCAATCCATCTCCACTTCCTCCTTCTGCACATTTGTTGGGTGATGGGTTCTTGGTTCATTGTCAGGTGGCGAAGGCACCAGCTGTTCACCTATGTCTGTAGTTTGTTTGTTGCAAATGATTTTCGCAACATGCCAAGTCTCTCAATCATCACATCGAAGCACCTGACTGGATTAGTGTTGAAAATTCGGATCGTGTTCCTCATGTTGAGTGTGGTGTGGTGTGGTGTGGTTCAGTGCAGCAGATCTCCACACTCATCTCCACAGATTAATGAAGGAAGGCCTGTCCTACTATCTTTCCGATCGTGACTGCTTTGACATGCTAATGTGTGCCACCGTCACCTGTGGTTGAAACGATGGTGCCTAGGCAGGTAGGCAGGTAGGCAGGTAGTCAGGCAGTCAGGTGAAAGAGGAAACTTCCTTTAGATTTCTCCCACTGATGGTGATTGGTGCCCGTTGTGTTATTGTTGTTGTTGTTGTTGTTGCTGCTGCTGTTGGGTATCTTCATCACCTCTGTCTTCTCTACGTTCACTGGAAGTATCGTCTTCGTTGTCTGGCTTCTTCTGTCAACTTGTAGGTTGTTGTCTGTAGATCTTCGATTTTGTGCGATATAAGACATTAGATATAAATCATCATCACCGGCGAAATCCAGATGTTCTAGGGTCTTTTTGTCGGTCCAGCCAGTGTATGCCCATCTTCTCGCTCCTCACAGTTGGTTGTATGATCCAGTCCAGTAAGATCTAATATTGATTCATAATCAAAATACAATAGGTAGGATGACTAAATGTCCCGACTTTTATAAGCCATGGATTTCAGCAGCAATCTCTCACAACTCTGCGCAGGTGCCAAGTTCACTCAAAGAGGAAGAAATAGGGAAGTCTAAATAACCTTCGCTAACTGATCCTTATTAAGCGTTACAGATGATAAAACAAATCGTTGTCAGCTTTTTTTGGCCGTTAGTTTTCATAAATCTTGGCTGCCTCATATTATTTCGAAGATGTTATGAAACTAAATGTGTTCAGCTCAAGTCACTGGACGCTCAAAGTTTTATAAAGCATCAGGTCATATCTAGGGACCAAAAACTGCCTGTATATGTCTTTTTTTTCAGCATAAGTGTACAAGGCATTAATTAACAGAAGATATTTATAGATCAAGATGATGCCAGTTATCTGGAACTGTCCAAGCTAAGATATTCGATCATGGACGCTTCGTCAGTGAGGTAGATGACCCTATAAGCATCCAAATCCTAAAAAAATTGTTCTTATCCAACACTCAGTAATGCAATTACCTTCCTGATCGAAATATATTCCAAATGATGGTTCACGAAGACCTATGCTGCTTTAACTTTCTACACGGCGTACTAAGATCTTGTCAACTAGCCAAGTCATGAAGTGTTCATGATTGAATAATTAAACTTTGAGTTATCGAGCATGAAATCGCTATCTCCTCTATAAAATTATTATTTTGATAAATGCGTTGTAGGTGTTGTTACAGTGATGAAAAGTGTGTCTGTTCACCACCTTTCTGAAGAGAGATTATTACAATGTTTATATTTTTATAAATTTAGGTTGGATAAAGGAAAAATCAGAAAGATCACTTGGCAGCTTCTTCTTGCAACGGATTTTTGTCACCAGTCAAATGTAAGTTTGTTTATAAAAGTTGAATTGTGTTTAGGAATGTTTGTAAAGAGAGAGTCAGTGTGAAAGATGTATAGTGTACTTTACCACCAAGAACAATATAGAAATTATTATCTGTTCACTTTAAAATTTAGCCAGGTAATAATTCACTTACCTTTTATGATGCGGAATTAAGTTAATAAAGAAGTCACGAGTCACTAGACAGCATAGATCTGCTCGATAGTAAAGTGTTAAAGTATTAACTTGAAAAAGCTGTATACAGTGATGTTATGTGGTACTGTATTTGTTTCTGGCTGGCGAAAACTAGAAATATTTTGTGCACTGGTGATTACGGGTTAAGTCTAGTTATACACAACTATGAGCCTCCAGGTGGCCTCACTGAATTCATTTCATATCAACCAGTGCACCGTCAAGGTGACTTAGTGAAAACCGTGGTCAGCGCGATCCATGTATGCAAGATTAGTAGCACAAGTCTCGAGAATACTGACGGTTTTGAAGGCCATCAGGATTCCACCCACTGAGTTGGGAGTAGTGCAACCGAAAGACAAAGTAAATTTAGTTTCTTAATTCTGGCAGTCATTTTGTTGAAGTAATCTCCAGAGACAGGTGTAGTCTTATTTTACAAAGGTGAAGGATATTTTATTCCTAGTCCTGGTGTCGCGAACCCTAGTGGTGGCTATATTTCAGCAGCTGGAAAGGACCCATTGCTATGAATCTGTCGGCAACATCGGCCCATGTTTCAGGCCCACTGGAGGAGTGAGTGTATTGTCAGGATGGTGAGCTGTACATAGCTTTACAAGGTTTTAGAGTTTTCAAAGAGATACGAACGACGCACGTCTGCCCATGGAGAGGTAAGTGGGGGTTATAAACCTATTAGCTGGTGAATGGGAATGTGTTGAAGCCTGACAGTTGAGAATATTCTAGGATCTCACTAATCATTTTGGGAGGCGTCAGCAGAATGCTTGGTCAGAAGTGTTCGTTTTCATGCGGATACGTCGCTAGCATGTTTACCGCTAGGTGAGGGGACCGACTGAATAGACCTATGATGGACCTTTCATAGACATGAATATCGGCTTAGAAATTGGAGCTGAGCAGAAAATTAGAGTGAAACTTTAGTTCGAAAATGTAGCACTGATGATAATTAAACAACCAATGACTGATATAAACAGCAGGTATTCAAAACAACTGAAAAGAAAAATTTACTTTCAAAACGTTTTCATACATTAAATCATTCACCTGAAAGGGTCTCTTGGTTAAGAATACGACCATCAATATGACGCCAAAAAATACTGACAAAGCTCTGCCAACAGATGAATGGGACGTTTTGGCTACCATTTTAGCTTATTTATTCTGATTATGGAAGAGGGATAATTTTACTTACCAGTATTTAGAGAATAAAACAGCTAGGACGAAACTGGCCAAATTAGCTGATAGATATACTACCAAAGTTATTTTCAGTCCATAACTCATGGGAGAAGAAATATGTGTACACAGAAATTAGTCCAGTATGGCTCCCAAAAAATATATCACCTTATTTCTGAGTGATACCAGAAAGGCAGATTATGAGAATAAGTATTATGACCTAGGGAGCAATATAGAGAGTAGCGTATATCGTAACAGAAAGCCACCGTTCACCTACGTTTCCTCCTTGTCAACCGTCATCAGTAGAGTCTGCCTGCCACTGTGAAGAAATTAAGGTCTCCTCGATGATCCGAAATCACGTTACTCAGTGAGGGATCAGTCATGGCCTGGACAGCAATATAGGTCCAAGTCACCAATGGATCATGGTCGCAGGTACATGTTGCCGATGAGTGCCAACAGGGGAGAAAAATGTATCAAGCAGAGTTTCCTGTCAATTGACTCCTAACATCTGTAATCAAGATACAGTGCACCACAGAGTTGCATCACTTTGCTTGGTGGTCACATTCAGAAACTTGATCGATAGACTTTGACCAGAGTTAAGTACAAGTGACTAGACAGTTACTTGCCTTCCCGCTTGTGAATTATTCACGTACAGTAAACTGTGTTAAGTCCACACTCCATGAAACTTACTTAATGCTGTCTCTGTAATGGTAACCAGAAGGCTTAGTAGTCACTAGCCAAAATGAATCTTTCTCCATCATATTTGATAAAATGTACTCTAATGATGTTGCATCTAGTATTTAAATATTGGTTCAAAAGTTATGCCATAAAACTAGGATTATGGTAAAGTGTTTTCTTATATCCTACCTTGAAACAGGTATACTCTCATAATGCATATTTCAAGTAAAGCGAGTGTTTGCAACTCCTTCAGTATAAAAAAGACACATCAAAATTATTCTTTCACAATATGCAAAAATTGCTATTAGTTATATAGCTTTTATTATTTTTATAAGGTAAACCGTTATCAACCCCATTCAACAGCTATATAATGACGCTACATGCCAACTGATTTACAATGGAAAGCTCAGCGTTGACTTTGAAGTATAGACAGGAGTAAGATATGACTGCCTACTATCACCGATGATCTTCCTGATTGTGGTCGACTGGACTGGATCATACAACCAACTGTGAGGAACGAGAAGATGGGCATACACTGGCTGGACCGACAAAAAGACCCTAGAACGTCTAGATTTCCCCGGTGATGATGATTTATATCTAATGTCTTATATCGCACAAAATCGAGGATCTACAGACAACAACCTACAAGTTGACAGAAGAAGAGAGACAACGAAGACGATACTTCCAGTGAACGTAGAGAAGACAGAGGTGATGAAGATACCCAACAACAGCAGCAGCAGCAGCAGCAACAACGACGAGCAGCAATCACCATCAGTGGGAGAAATCTAAAGGAAGTTTCCTCTTTCACCTGTCTGCCTGCCTGCCTGCCTACCTGCCTGCCTGCCTAGGTACCATCGTTTCAACCACAGGTGACGGTGGCACACATTAGCATGTCAAAGCAGTCACGATCGGAAAGACAGTAGGACAGGCCTTCCTTCATCAATTTGTGGAGATGAGTGTGGAGATCTGCTGCACTGCACCACACCACACCACACCACACCACACCACACCACACCACACCACACCACACCACACCACACCACACTCAACATAAGGAACACGATCCGAATTTTCAACACTAATCCAGTCAGGTGCTTCGATGTGATGATTGAGAGATTTGGCATGTTACGAAAATCATTTGCAATAAACAAACTACAGACATAGATGAACAGCTGGTGCCTTCGCCACCTGACAATGAACCAAGAACCCATCACCCAACAAATGTGCAGAAGGAGGAAGTGGAGATGGATTGGATTGGGCATGAATCGAGAAGACCGTTTCTGGATATCACTTGACAGGTCAGGTTGTCGAGTGGATGTTGTATGGGAAACGATGAGTTTGGCGTTTGTGGGTGATATGGAGGAGATTGTGTGAGGAAGAGATGAGAGGTTGTGGGGAGTCGTGTTTCCATTTTGGAAGGACTGGAGAGAAGAGAGTGAAGTGTTGACATGCTACTTAATCTGTATATTCTACTAGGTACGCAAAGGACAAATAGTTAACAATAATGATAATAATTTTTATGAGGCAGGATGTTACTTTATCATGTGATGCATACAAATATAGGTCTATTCAGTTCCATCAATCCGTCTATCAGTAATTTTAAAGATACTGTAACACTTGTCTCTCTAGTTTATATTTCAATCCAAATGTTGATTCTGTGTAAAAAGGTGAACATTTCCGGTTGACATAATTTTGGTTAGGAAATAAATGAATATACTGTAAGTATTGTAACGTTTTATTTAGGATACCCTTAAATATTCTAAAAATAGAGTAGGAAGCTAAACTATTCTATGTACAGGTTAGCTATTTTTAACCTAATTCTATGCTCCAATTATTTACTTGTTAATTGATTCTTCAGAAAACGTTTTTTTCATTTTTAGTGTATACATCGTGATATTAAACCTGAAAATATCTTAATAAATAAATCCAATGAAGTGAAATTGTGTGATTTTGGATTTGCTAGATTTCTAAGTAAGTTTGAGTAAGATCATCTTTTTTTACGGTTACTAATTCCTATTTTCGTCTTCAACAGTACTTACTCATGACTCCATCTCATTGAGCATCGAACTCAGGATCTTCAGGTTTCAGGACCAACGTGTTAACCATTTAGATATTGTGTCGGTATTCAACAGTGAACAGCTTCCTACTTCTGTCGATTTGTGATATAGCTCGACTGTCTAACAAAGTCTTCAGTTGACTTTCGTTTCATTTCCTACTCGTTGACCTCAATGGTCACACCTTCTTATTAGAACTTCGGGATAACCATCTCAAAATATGTCACTAATGAACACCATAGAGTAATGTAGTTTGAGGTTTACGGTGACTGAAATCAGAAGAACCACTGAAAGCCTATCAGCTCATGATGAATACAGTCTTAAAAATAAAGTTCTGATAAACCTCAAACTACATTTTTTATTTTCAAGTAGGGAGAAAACCTGTTTTTTTGACACTTTGAAGCGGGAAGGTGAAATGTATAAGTATACGATTTTAAATGAAATATACTTTTAAAATCCCAATGAAGTAGAAAAATAGATTTTTAACTTCTCGCGACTTCGTAGAAATCGTTTCTTCCGAGAATAAAACCTGTAGAAGTTATTGATTCATCGTTCAAGGTGTATTTTTACTTGTATAATCCCAGCGTATTAAAATAGAATAAAAAATATTTTAAACAGCGTAATGAGAAAACGAAGATTATCTGAAACATGTCGTGATATATTAGCGCTATACATTTCGAACAATCTGATCACACATGGACTTGTCCAACTATTTATGTGAAAATTTACGAAAAAGGTCAATGAAGTTAATAGGAAACATAGGAATAGGAAGGGATAGAAAAAAAGTAAAACCTTACTCTTAGTATGAAAATCAATACTACCAAGGTAGGTTCAACGTGAGTACAAATTGTTTTTGTATACATAAAGGGGGTTTAAATTTACGGATGGCAAGAGCTTCAATAAATTTAAGCACTCAGCTCTGACCACTTTTATGTAGTACTTCAAAGGCTGTTTTCATGTCTATCCTATGGTTAGTTTCTAGTATATGTTTCAGCGATAGACGAAGATGGATGTTTGTCACCTGCACTTATTGGATCTGTTGAGGTCATTTGTTTTTGCAGCCACTTAGGTGCATGTTCAACCTTCCTTAACTGAATATCACGATTACTCCTCCCTATATATGTGTGTCCACACATACATGTAAATTGATAGACACAGTGGGATGTGATGTAATCGTTTATATGTTGTTTCGGTTTGTGCTGTAACATGGACTTGGTCTTCTCTACAATGATGACCTTCGCTGCATAATACGTTTTACGAATGGCCGATCTAAGTCTTTTCCTCACAACAAAGCTATGTGAATCACCTCTAAATGGCAAAGATATGTAGACATTTATCTTAGCAACGGAACACTGTTTACTTTTCAGTGGTAGATAACTTTTGCACCCGTCAATAAATCTCAACGGGTATCCATTCTGTCAGTGTTGTCATCAGTAAGTTGGTTTCTTCCTCCCTGGGGTCATCGGTGCAGATACGGTGTATCCTGTTGAATAAGCATCTGACTAAACCACGTTTATATTGGACTGGGCAATAGCTATGGAAATTAAGATATTACCCTGTCCATGTAGGTCTCCTATAGATCGACCTCCTGTTCGAGCCATCCTCCCGTCGACTGAGCAATGCGTCTAGGAATGGTAGTTGGTTGTTCGTCTCTTGTTCACAAGTCAGGCTAATGTGATTTTGAGTCGTGTTCATTTTCTGTAGCAGGCACACTGCATCATCAGACTTTTCACATATAATGACCACCATATCATCGACATATCTCTTATAAAGTGAAACCCTTCCGATGAGATCGTCAGCCATGTTTCCAACATATGACATATATACATCAGCTAGCAAAGGTCACAATGGACTACCCATCGCGACGCCATCGACCTGTTGAAAGTGTTCACTCTCGAATGTGAATTCAACTTTATCAGTGCATAATAATAATAATAAATCTTTTAAAAAATTAATAGGAATAGGGAATATAAGACTGTTAGAAGAAATATAGTCACATAAAATATCAGTTGTCTTTACCAGAGGTACATTAGTAAATAAAGCATTTGCATAGAACGAGTACATAGTCTGATCCTTGATATTAATATTATTTAAACAGTCAATAAGGTCAATGTATCTTTCAATGAGGACTTACATAAATGGCTTCTGACAGAACCCAAGAGCTTTGCCAACCATTTAGCTAGATTATGTGTGGGTGATCGACACATAGAAGATAATGGACGCAGTGGGTTGTCAGGTTTATGAGTTTTAAGTAACCCATATAGATGTGGATGTTCAGATCCTATAAATTTTAGACGACTAAATTCCTCCTTATTGATTGAGCTGAGTGCTTAAATTTATTGAAGCTCTTGCCATCCGTAAATTTAAACCCCCTTTATGTATACAAAAACAATTTGTACTCACGTTGAACCTACCTTGGTAGTATTGATTTTCATACTAAGAGTAAGGTTTTACTTTTTTTCTATCCCTTCCTATTCCTATGTTTCCTATTAACTTCATTGACCTTTTTCGTAAATTTTCACATAAATAGTTGGACAAGTCCATGTGTGATCAGATTGTTCGAAATGTATAGCGCTAATATATCACGACATGTTTCAGATAATCTTCGTCTTCTCATTACGCTGTTTAAATTTATCAAAGGGACCAGTTGCTTTAAACAAATATTTTGTATTATTCCTCAACGTTTCCATCCTTTTCATGAGTATGAATCTGAACATTAGGTTTGCAGGTTAATATTCAAGTTTTGGTACAGAAGGTGATGACCTTTACGATCATCCAAATACATCGTGATATGGAACAAAGATCAATGCAATACAGATGAGTGAGTAAGCAAATCGGTCAGTTGTGCTAGTAAGGTGGAACAAAAATAGGGTGGGGAAATTTAGTTCATCTATGAAAAGTACAATGGGGTTGGAAATCATCAAGGGTGAGAAAGAATAGATCACTAGTTTGGAAGGATGAATGTTTGAACATTAGAAGTATGAACGATAACAAAATGGTTTGTGTAGTATAACAGAATGGTTCATAGAATGTATATAACGTAAAATTGATGAAAATACTAGATCAGTAAAGTATTACGTAGTGAGATTAGACAAGCTGTTGAAATACAACGAATACCAGTGATGTGATTAAGACAATTAAATGAAATAACACCGGGGACTATTCAAGCAAGAATAAATTCGGAATGAATCATGTGGAATACGGTGAAGTGAAGTTGTGTTCTATCTTCTCTTCATATCTTATTTACAACTGTCTATGCGAGTCATTAATGTTTGTCATATTTGTGGGATGTCTAACCCATCTTTTCTATTGACCGAAGAAGAGTATGAACAGATGTGCAAAGCTTCTACAATGGCCAACTCTTTGTGAGAAAGAAAGCCCTTTTGCAAGACTTCTATCTTTTCGAATGATATTTTATGACTTGGCTGTAAAGCATGAGTCACGATGGTACAGCTTTAATCAAGTTTTTCAGATCATAGGAATTTTCATGGTGGTTTTTGCAACTTTGACCGTGTTTGCTTAGACGGGTTAGTACTTGACATGATGTCTCCCCAATGTATATGGCATTGCACTCACTTCAGTCCACCTTATAAACACAGTTCTGTTATTCCAAATAGGGAATCAGATCTTTTAATTGACACAGGTGGAAGGGTTTAAATAGTAGATGATGTCGAGTCAGATCACATCGTCTATACTTGATAATTGAATGAACATTATGTCATTGTTATGCTGGTCAGCAAGCGTTCAAAATTTGTTATTCATCAATTAGTCTGGAGATCAAGGTGATGTCAATATGTGCACATGTGATTTGGGCGTGAAAATATAAGAAAAATAATATGGGTGATAAATTCAGTTTGTTAGTGTGCATATGCTTTTGTTCTGATCACTGTATATGATGGATTGTTTTCTGGAAACACTGTCTAGGTTGGTTGGATAGTTACGTCTTCCTTTCTGTTGAATGCATTGGGACTCAACATTATGTGAAATGCTTCAGCTACTCCCCTTCTTTGTAGTTTGAAAATCTTGACGCCAGATCTTTTCAAAGTTATTAATGTATCATCTACTTATCTAAGCCAAATACGTGGTTTGATGGCGTTAGAGAAGACGATTGATTAAATGTGGTACATGAATAGGTTTGAAACGATAAGGGACACGGGAGAACTCACAGTTAGTCCTTTAGTTTGTTTGTGTAGTTTTCTTTTAAACAAAAATAGTGTTGACTTTAAATAAAATTTGATTGCTTTTATGATGAGGTTAGGGTTCAACGGAGGTCTGTCTGCCAACATGTAATCACATTCCAGTAATTCATCTATGAAGGCTAAGCATATTTCAATGGGAATACTGGTGTGCTATGAAACAACATCATAACTTACCATTGTTTCATTCACTGCAATAGATAATTCCGATATTCTTGAATCAAATTCATACCAGTCTTTATCTGAGTTAATAACAGTGATGAACAGGCTTTTGTAATGAAGGTAGATATTTAGATAAAGTATATGTTGGCGAATTTGTAGAAACGTGATGATGTGCATAATTTTGGATATAGGGGAAACCATAATGAGCCTCCTATGAACGGTTTCAGTTTCTTTAAAAGCTGCCCTGTTTTCATTTTGTTCTTCGTTGCTTGGTACTTTTTAACTCAGTTTTTTCGTGGGGACCGTTGAGAGATGTTCATGTGCTTTATTGTCTTAGTCAGTTTTGTTCATAATCACTGCCTTGGTAACTAAGATTGTTTTATCTTTTCGTAAGTTTTGGAGGGCTAAACTGTTGAATGGTTTCCTGTTTATTAACAGTAACATTTCTCTAACAGAAACACAAGCTCAGAATAATTCATTTTGTTAACATAGCAGTGGTGAGCGTTTGAGAACCACCTGAGTTTAAAGATCTACTCTGAAAGGTTGTATTTCCTCTTTATTGTTTCATTTGGTTAAAACAGTGTTTCTTATATACGTGACACAGTGTGGGCTATGAACTAATTTCAACTTTATTACGGTCGAAAAACAAGAATTTTGTACCTGCAGAAAAAAATTACGAGTGAGAAATTTACTCAGAATACCCATGAATATAGACGGATTGAAATATCAAAAGCAAAAGGAAAATATATGAAGGATTTATTCATTAGCTTAAGAACAAATTTGCAACTTATTTTAGATTCTGTTGTATTTTAGTTATTCTCAAACCTATGTTCATTTTACGCCTAATAAAATTCCCATTTCCTTTTTACCCAAAACTAGATCCAGGTGGTGAATATACAGATTATGTAGCAACACGTTGGTATCGTTCACCGGAATTGTTGGTTGGAGATACACAATATGGTCCACCAGTTGATGTTTGGGCAATTGGATGTGTATTTGCAGAAATGTTACTTGGCTGCCCTCTATGGCCAGGTTCTTCTGATTTGGATCAACTCTACCTTATAACAAAGAACCTTGGTGAGTTTTAGTTCTAAAAAAAAATTTTTTTTAACTGTTAGTGATATACTGGTAAAGATATAATAAAAATTATTATTATTTGTCCCTTCGGTTCCTAATGGAATATAGGGACTCAGTAGCACGTCTCCATTCCACTCTCTTCTCTGAAATCTTTTTAACCTGGCTCCACGATAGCCCACAACCTCTCATTTCTTCCTCACACGATCTCCTCCATGTCACCCTCACCCCGGACACCCAACTCGTCACTTTCCATCTGGGTTCCACTCGAGTGCCTGGCCTGGCAGGCGCATGATGCCCCCAGTCGGCCTTCTCACTGTGTGCCCAATTCATCTCCACTTTCTTCTGCATGTTTATTAGGTGATAGGTACTTGGTTGATTCGTTGCCAGAGTTCCTTGTTGCTTATTCTTTCTGGCCATCTGATCCTCAGTAATGAGCCAATGTAGGCAGTTGGTGATGAATGTCTGTAGTTTGTTGGAAATCCCTTTCGTAACGCGCCAGGTCTCTGAGCCATACAGGAGCACTGACTTGACGTTGGTGTTGAAAATCCGGATCTTGTTCCACATGCTGAGTGCAGCAGGTCTCCACACTGGTTTCAGGCTAATGAACGCCTGTCTTGTTTTTTCGATCCTGGCTAGCTTTGATGTTCTCGTCTATGCCACCTGTAGTTGAAACAGTTCTTCCTAGATAGGTGAAAGAGGCTACTTCCTCGCCTGGTTAACCAGTTCACTAGTTACTAGCCCGTCCTAAGCCCGGGTAAAGAGGGAAGGTTGGGCGTAGGACTAGTAACCCTACCCTGTAAAACAAATCCAACTACTAAAGAAACTTCAAAGCACAAAAAAATTTTAAGAAATAAAAAACAATATAATAAAAATAACGAGTTTTTATCTTTCCTAATGGATGGAAATAGTAAACCGTGAAATCTCTTGGCCTTCCGCTAACTGATATGCTTGCGGTATTCTGGCTTTACTAAAGACCAAGCCCGAAAACAATGAGGTTCTAAAAAGCCATGGGGAGGACCAGATTCTTGTACAAAAGTCTGAGGGTCAGTTATCAGTTATCAAAAATGACTTTTTCGTCTTCCACAGATTCTCATTGTTCTTTCAATACATAATAATGGTTCAATTCTATTGAAAAGCTGACTTATTGTTTTGTTCGAGTATTTTCACAATACCTACAATGGTATCTTCACTCATGAAGATAAAAGACAAAGTTATTAATTTACTAAAAGCTACGAAGCATTGCAGACAAGAGTAACTACCTTTTTCTTTAGGGTTATTTTGACTACAAGCGAAATTTACTATCTGATCAGCACTTCAAGCAGAGTTGCATCTTTGGGCTATTCATATTTTAAATTCCACTTAAACAGTCATCTTTCAACTAGTTACTAAGTAGGTACTCTCGTGTGTCTTGAATGCACAAATATAGAATAAAAATGTGTCTACGTTTTAAAAATCTGCAATATTTCATAATAGATTGTCTGTTTCTCACGATCGGTTTTGTTATTAGTCGTTGATGTATTATTGTAAATATTCCCTATATTACGCAAGCTCTGAATACTGGCTGCTGCATAAAGCCTAAGGTTATTTTAAAGGCAAGATAGTCCACACTTTTGGTCTAACTCCAAAGACTGGTGACATTAGAACCAGTGTGACCTTTATTACATCAGAGATGGTAACATTCTGCTATTGATCTGTTTAGTCTGATTCACCTCGAATGTAGAGGTTTTTTCTAGAAAATACCAAGCTATATTCTTCGTATTCTCATGTATTTACCTTATGCATTTTGATAGGGTTTGTTAAAAAGACGGATTATGTACATAAAAAATTCGCGTCCTGATCATTGGTAGTTAAAATTCATTATTGATCTTGCTTAGAAATGAGTGAATAGGGTCGCAGAAGTATGATCAATTCCTGTAAATGATCTGTGGTATTTCGCTTTTTTCTTCTCAAGAGAGTAGCTATACTAAACGAGATTATGATAAGTGCAGAATGAAGCTTCCTAGAAGTTTATCTTCACCAGTTTTGTATGACAATCACTTGTTCATAACTAGCAGTAGCTTTAGACGAAAGGAAAAAAAAGTGTAAATTGTGAACTACTCAAACCTAGACAAAACTGCATGTATATAGAACGTATTGGCATGAACTATCGTGGCAGAACTGCTACTGGTTTGGAGGGCCTACCTGAACTATGATGATGCATTGATTTGATGATGAGTGTGTCGACATGTGCATAGGTATATACAGTTTTCACTACAGCAGGCTCAATAAACCGAATTCTAACTCCATATTTCTGCAGGGTGAAATGACACTAAAATGAACACATAATGCTTCGTCCGAATCACTTTAAGGGCAGTGAGCAGAATAACTAACAGTCTGCAACAAAAGATATCTGAAAGCTGTAGGATCTCTACTGACACAAGAGTGATGATATTTTGTTCCTATCAAGGGCAGAAGCAGGAGCAAATTAAACATGAATTAACCTTGAGTCCTTACTATCACCACCCGCTACCCTGATTTGCCATGGTAACAAAAAAAGACATTGGTACTAAGCAGTATTCAGTAGTTATATACACTCAGGGAAAAGGATAGTTCTCAAGTATGTAGCTAGAGATGACTGTTGTCTGATGCTGCCTCAAGAAAGGTGGCTGTTTCTAAGGGTTGGATACTTTGAATGACATTCATTCTACTCGTAGCTAGTGTGTGTATGTGAACAACAAGTCGAAGAAATTTAGACAGTCTGCAGGTACAGATACTGGTGAATCGGTCAGATCTGCTCAATTCGTTAGGTTTCCGAAGAAAAGCGTAACTGCTGGCTTATATAAAAAAATTTAAGTATTTTTTATGTTCAACTTGGTATTGTCTGCCAGCAAAAGAGTTGAATATGAAGTATTCGATGAAGAAAAACACTCTTTAGTTGACTGATGCAGCTATATTAAGGCTTATGATGAGTTATGTGCTGGGATGACGACAACTAGTTGTATCTATCAGGTGTGTTCAATCTCATCATTTCTATTGAAATTTGTCGGCAGTATACTGATTGGAGTAGTTTCGATTACTTTCAACCTCTAACAGATTGATTCGGTCTCCAGAGAATATCTAACAGACTCATAAGACAAAGATGCTAACTATACACCGGATTTTCTGGAAGTTTTCAGTATATTTTTCATCCATTTTGCGCTTGATGTTTTAATATTGGTTAGTACCGATTTCTTGTTTAAGGATAGATGGGTGAGGCAGTGAAGTGCATTGAATGCATAATTTATTCAGATGGTTGTATCAGCTGTAGTAGACGGCATGGTGATTAAATACGTGCCCAGAAGTTTAAGAATCGTGAATTATTTTCTATTTATGCCGTTTATGATTCAATCATGGTGTTCAACCATCTATAAAATGGCCAGTGCATGACATATTGATCTTGTGTGTTATACTTTGAGCTGCTGAAACAAAAATGTTGAAATTTTATGAGATGAAGATTTTACAGGTTTTGCATCATGAATATCTTCTTAGCACTGCATGCATGATATAAACGCAGTGTTAGAAAGTTAAGGCTTGACCACACAATCCAAGTAAAGAATGGTAAACCAATGATGGAAGCTGTAATCCTAGACAAGAAAAAGCAGCTGTGAATTATTTTGTTCATAGACTAACCATCTTCCATGAGTTGCACTATTGTTTGAAGCAGAGTTTATTTCTCCACTGCTACAAACTATGACATCCTTAACTACTAAGCACTGTCCAATATTCTAACCCTACACATTCATCTGACATTGCAATTAGAGATTCTTAGTGGGAATAAGTTTAGTAACCATCGAAAGCGTCGTTGTATGCATAAAGATACTGAAAAAATTTGTTCCCAGTTTTCTAAGCCATGTATTTTCATAGGTAATGTATTTCTAAAGCAACTAAGAATATTCACGCTAAGACTATTCAAATTTCATTTATCCAGAACTGATGAAATATCTCAGTAATTTTGATTGGTCATCAGTGAATACTGAGGAATTTTACGATTCATCTTTTGTGAAACGTATGTAAAAGAAATCCGATCGAAATCTGGTCAGCTTGACTACAACATAAGCCGATAGTAACGTCTTCAACTATGCATACAACTAAATAAAGATGTTATGGGTTACAATATCAGCCGTAATTCTCGGTATGAATTTATTTTGTTGATAGCTGACAAGAAAAACAGATCTTAAGAAAAAGAAGTCTTAGGTTACTTTTTTCAGTTCAACAGACAAGGCTTGCTGTTGTGATATTATGCAATAAGCTTGACCAGATCCTTTAAAGAAGTCCGAAATCCCAGAGGAACTATACTCCAGAGTTTTGCGAAAAAATAATTGATTATACTCATCAATAACAGATTACTTGAATAGGCAAAATCGATAGGGACTGACTATTTAGAATTTCCTCGGAAATTGTCAAGGTAGCAGTATTCTGAGCATATTTTGACTTTTCAATACACCTCCTGATCTCTTATCATCTTTACTATTTTCCGAGACAGTGAATAATCATTAAAAAAATGGGATCTGTAGACTATTTTTTAAGACTCCTCACGTGTACAATCAGGCTATCAGGAACAAAGATGAATGACATTGAACAAAGATCGAAGACTAGACATATGAGGACTTTTCGATTTATCTAAATTACTTATGAACGATGATAAAACAAGAACAAAGGGAAAAGGTTAAATGGATTATCTTGGTCTGTTCTACTCACTGAAACATTCAGTATCCACAATGAATATTTAGTTATCTTCATACAATATGAAATGTACGACCTGTTTCATCACAACAGTCAATAATCTATCACCTTAATGTATGCGAGAAAATCAATTTTTCGTAATATGCAAAATGGTTTCAATCAGACAGTAAACAGCTTCTTCGAGTTTTTATTATTATTTAGTTGAAGTTACTTAGATCAGTACTGTAAATTGCATTAGGTTTTCGGTTGTGCACGCTTTTACAATTTGGTAGATATAGTATTGCAAAATCTTGCTTGGT